TCCGAAGTCCCAATCTGAATCAAATGATTCGCGCTCCGAAGTCCCAATCTGAATCAAATGATTTGCGCTCCGAAGTCCCAATCTGAATCAAATGATTTGCGCTCCGAAGTCCCAATCTGAATCAAATGATTTGCGCTCCGAAGTCCCAATCTGAATCAAATGATTTGCGCTCCGAAGTCCCAATCTGAATCAAATGATTTGCGCTAAGAAGTCCCAATCTGAATCAAATGATTTGCGCTCCGAAGTCCCAATCTGAATCAAATGATTTGCGCTCCGAAGTCCCAATCTGAATCAAATGATTCGCGCTCCGAAGTCCCGATCTGAATCAAATGATTCGCGATCCGAAGTCCCGATTTAAATAATCATTGGCAAAGCAACATTTATATCTGGACTTTGGAGCACAGATCGCGAATGATAATAATTTGTGAACCCAGTCCGAAGTTCAGATCTGAATCAGAAGATTCACGAACCCACTCAGTTTTGATCTAAATTAAATGATTTGATATACGCTCAGAAGTCCCAATTTGAATTAAATGATTTGCGATACTCGAAGTTCCGATCTAAATAAGATGATTTGCAAACCCGGTCAGAAGTCCCGATCCGTTATACGCGCTTTGAAGTCCCACTCTGAATCAAATAATTTGCGATACGCGATCCGTTTGGAGCGCTTCGGAAAACTGAATCATTTTGTGACGCAATGGTTCGGAGGACTATACGTGCTTTTTAAATTCATTACAAGAGATGTCAAATTTTGAAAATTAATGGCTCTTTTGATCTGGTTTTTGCTAGTGAATCACTTGAAGTGAATGATTGAAGCCATGAGTTTGATTCAATCGGAGCGTTTCACGTCTTCATCCATGTTTATAGGACATTGTCAGTACTGGCTTAGCTCGCTAGTTTTATGACATTACCTGAAATAAGCAGAAAAAGTATGATGTTTACAAATAAAATGTCAATATTTCTATTCCACAGATTACGTCCAACACAAAACTATAGCCTACAAGCATATTCAGGTGAGGTAACCGGTTTATCATTCACTGAACGTTTTAAACACTTTGGCTAACTTATAGCCTATGTTCTTACTCCATACATGTATTAAATGTAGCCTACAGCCTTGAAAGTGCACATTTGTCAAGCAGAGGCGGACTTGCCCATTAGGCAAAGGTAGGCGACTGCCTTGGGCCCCCAAAAGCCGACGGCCTAAAATGCTTTTCATACCAGATGCGCATTAAACTTGGACATTATGGTGTTTATTACCACGACAACCATCTGCGTGTCCGAGTTGAATGTGCTTCTTGTGTATCCTGCTTGCAGCAAAGGAATATCATGCATCTGAAGCTGTAAATATTGAGCAACAGTTCGTATTGTATGTTTATTGTTTTAAAAGCCGCTTACTCGTTTCTGAGAAGGACCCTAGTAGAGGATGCATGCAGTTACTTTTTTGGTTGATATAATCCTTACAGTGTATTCACACCAAACGCGAATTTAATTATTTGCGTGAGTAGATTACATACAAAGTCAATGCAAAGACGCGAACTGTTACGGGGCTGACGAGACGTGAGGATCCAAGTGCAAAGCTTTATTAACAGACATGGTTAGAGACAGGCAAGGGTCAGACACAGGCAACAGGTATATAAGGCCAAGACACAAGAATATTCCTAGGGCTAGCGTGGGTCTACGATCGGCGATATCAGAATCAACAGGGCGAGACTAGAGGAATAAATCCAGGTACAAGGCAAAGGTACAAGCAGGGACAAACAGTATCCGAATAGGGCAAGACGAGAGGGGGAATCCGAGAATCACAGGCAAAGAAAACAGACAAGGCAAGACTAAGATAAGGCTATGAAAACTAGACAGGCTCCGTAGAGTAGCTATCGCTATGAGAGTGATAAACACTATACAATACTCAGCAGTGAGAGAGAGGAAGTCCATGGCTTATGTAGCATGTCTAATTGGATTCAGCTGTGTGTGTGTGTAATCAGTGCAATGGATGATGGGAACTGTAGTCCGGGTGAAGTGCAACAGTAGTGTGGTGCAAGAGTCCATAGTAGTGAGCGGGTGATCTCTGGTGGTGAGCGAACGGAAGTGCATGGACCGGATTCGTGACACGAATAGAGGCGAATTCGCGCCAGGTGAGGCGAATGGCGCGAATGGCGCGAAATGCGTGACGCGTTTGCCGCGAAGGCAAGATATTTGCCTCAATCGCGTAAAAGAATTAGCTAACCTAGTGATAGTCAGGGTCACTCTGAATACATATCAATTGAAATAATGAGCTAACCTATAAAGGAACACTTTTTATGAATGTTTGAATATACGGAAATAATCAAAAGGGCAACAATGGAGTTTGATGTTTTGGGTGAATTTGCTTTTAGTTTTCTCCAAAACTATACAGTAAAATGACTTGAAAATGAAGACAGTGATAGTAAGGGTCACTCTGAATACATATCACGCATTTTGTTGTTATACACACACACAAACATTAAATACAAAAACAATGAATAAAAAACATTCATATTAACATTTATAAACATTAATAAATTATTTATAATTGTTTATGTACAAAAATAATGTATTTACAAACTAAAAATAAAAGTTAAAATAAGCAAATTATAAAGGAAACGTCGGTATGACAGCTTCTTTACATGTATGTTGATTGCCCTCAGCACCCGTACCGTAAGTGCACGATTGCACGTGCAAAACAAAAAAAAGTGCGGCTGGCTTGACCGCAGTGCATATTCGCTTCG